TCCTTTTCACGAACAATGGAAATGTTAAGCTAACAGCACACCCGACAATTGACACAAGTGCCGGCCGCGACTCGCTCTTTTTACTGGAAAACTTTCCCGGGCGCCTGTTTTTCCCTATTCGATTCCCCGTGTCGCATCGTCTCACTCCGTCCTTGTTTGCTGTCGCTCTCTGTCTCGCACTCCCTCCCTCCCCCCCCGCCGAGCTTTTGTTTCTCATTCAGTCTCTCTTTTCCTCTCGTCTTTCCTTTCTTTTACACTGCGCATCGAAATGCACTCGGAGTTCGATGTACCTTCATCATCGCTTTATTGTCGCAGGTGTGCGTATTATTTTCAAACAGGAAAAACAAGCAAAGCGAGAAAGACGCGCGATGAATAAGGGGTTAGATGGGGAGAAGAAGAATGTAGCTGATGTGCTTCCAAGTTCCATAGGTGTTTTAAACAATCAAGCTTCTGATATGAATTATAGAAGAGCGTTTCTAATAAATAAGACTTTAAATGTCAGAAGGAATAAATGAATTAATTAAGAACTCCAAAAGTTTCATGACGAATAAGAAGTTAGATGGATAATAGTTGATATGTCTCCAAGTTCCAGATTTAAATATCCCCTTTAGAGCTTCTAATATAATTACGGAAGAATGTTTGTAAGGTATAAGGGTCTAAATTTCGAAAGAAATAAATGAACCAATTAACAATTATCAAAATTTCATAAAATTAAAGCAAAATCTAAATTTTTAGATGTATGATAAATTCTCCAGAACAGTATTTTACAACACTGAAATTCCATGAATACCAAATTCCAAAGCTTCCGAAGCAGAAATTCGATATTTAACTGATGAGACGGAAAGTGTGAGGGACGAAGTTCACGGTCAGTTGGAAATGGGAAAAAGGATTTGCGATCGAAAAATACGAGAGAAAATATGCAAAGAGAAAATAGACGAGGTATGCAGAATTGGGAAAAATGAACGTTCGATTTGAGTTTTAACAACGTTCTCACTTACTGAGTTTTCAAGTTGAAGAAAAGTCAGAGCGTCGGAAGAGGCAGTTCCAATCGCAGATGCAATTGTAAGCGAAAGTTTTTCCCGGATTCTCGAAGAAACGGCGTGAAAAAATGCGTTACGAGATTACAACGGATACTGCGAGCTTTGATCTTTGAGAGAGAGAGAGAGAGAGAGAGAGAGAGAGAGAGAGAGAGAGAGAGAGAGAGAGAGAGAGAGAGAGAGAGT